AGATGTAATGAAGTACTCACTCTTCAGTCAGTAAGGAAAGACTGAAGAGGGAGGACGCAATCTGAAGTCCTTATATACTACAGAGAAGTGTCCATGACTAATCGAAGAGTGGTTAGTCACATGTACCATAGTGCGATGAATAATACAATGGTGAAAGAATTGCGACGTATCGCACCATAGGATGAGTAAGAGATGAGTAAGGCATAGACCTATCTAGACCGTTCTGGAGTAGTACGGATTGTCCTAGACAGTACCAGAAGAGTCCGGAAGCATAGCTATAGTACACGAGCAGAGAGTCCCAAATATGGTAACATACTACATAAGCGACTACAGCTAAGCGCTAGGAGACGCATAGCCTCGTGTAGTCCGGACCGGATAAGTCCAAGTTCAACACCCGAGGACCCGTGTATGACTGTACATCGCTGCATCCATATACATCCAATTCTCTGGGCGCCAAACGACCACTATCATCCATTTCCATGTCTGGCTGGTCCTCGATCTCGTTCCCGACCCCTTCGTCCATGACGCCATCGACATCCCCGACGCACTCATAAACGCGGTCAATTGCCGTCTCGCCTTCTGCACACTCTCTCTTCTGTTCTCCCACCATCGGCACTCTCACTGACTGCTTTGAGGCTACAAGGTAGGTACTAGCATAAGGACGTTTATGGTACATAGTAGTGAGCGCATACAGGTGAGCTGGTTAGTACTTGCATAATGGTAAGTGATGGCAGGCAAAGACTGTACACAGGTGGGCCACAGTACAGTAACGCTGACAGTTCCATGAGCACGAGTTCATAGCCACGCAAGCCACACACTTTACACGCAGTAGATAGGCCGGCGTGAGATGCGGGAGGCAGCAGGGCGGCAGGCAGGGGCAGGGCGGGAACAGGCGTCAATGTATCCCAGCGCGCGTGTCATACTGTAGAGTAACTGATGATAAATATATATGCTTCCATTCCAAATTGGGATCACATCGAGCATCCGAATCTGTACCGATCTTTTGTGAGCTTTATGTGTCTTCTTCTGTCTGTTGAAACAGGCCAATGATGGCCTGTAATCGACCAGAAACGCTACAAATCGACGGATAAAGGTGAGTGATGGCAAATGGCTTTTTGTGGCCATATCTGCCTATCTCCTGCTATATCTACCGATATCCACCGATATTGGTCTTTATGCCAGCTAGAAAAAGCTACAAATTGTAGGAAATAGGGAAGGTTCTCACTGGGTTTGAGCTCGTGACAAGGCCGGTTTAGCGCTTATGTCCATATCGACACTACATAGTACCACCTCCACCACCGTCACCACCGTCTCGCGTTCGTCTGCCTTGTCGTGTCTGCCACGAACCAGACTCGCTGCTATCATAATAAGGTCATCTCTTTGAATTACATCGCACATGTCGGGACACCCATGGGACGACACGCAAGCGGATGTGATCTTCTGTGCTTCCGATGGTGTCAAGTTCAGAGTACACAAGCTTGTCCTGTCACTAGCGTCAGATTTCTTTAGGGACATGTTTCGTCTGCCACAGAATGGGTACGTATCTGTGTCACAGTCTTCATAAACGGTCCTTGCCACTTTGCGCTCAAAATGCGCTCAGAAACGATTCTCTTCCCGAAATCCCTTGCTCGGAACCGAGCACGATCCTCGACAACCTCTTCCGTCTCTGTTATCCCATTCAAGACCCATCCATCCATGCCATCCAAGACCTTAGGGCGACGCTAGTGGCCGCAATGAAGTACGATATGAAGGAGGCAATCTACCTCATGCGACAGGAGCTCAGCAGGCATACCCTCACTTCTCCTATGCGAGTGTACGCCATCGCCTGCTGCCTCGACCTTGAGGACGAGGCGCATTGCGCTGCGAAGACTATCCGCGAGCAAGGTGTTCAGAACTCGTATGTGGAAGAGATGGAGGACCTTTCCGCTGGTGCATACCAACGGCTTCTTGATTTTTGCCAGCCGACCCAATCGACGAGCTTCTTCCAACTGTATTTTCCCCTACCTACTGAGTTTTTTCGCCCTCCCCGTCTCGCTCTCTCAGTTGATGTAGTAGCCAACGCAGCACCCGCCACCATCGTCGACCTTCTGAACCAGTCTAGTGTCACGCTTGCCCCTCATCCGTTTTGCCTGAGTGACGCCGACCTGGACATCATTTCCTGTGACCGTGTCGTCTTCAAGGTCTCCAGTCACATCGTCCGACTAGCTTCACCCACTTTATTGTCTCTCGTTGCAGAAAAGGCATTGCCCCAAGACTCCCTAGATGCACACTCGGTCCCCGATCGTCGAACGATCACCCTTCCGGAAACCAGCAGTGTTCTTTCGATCCTCTTGCGTACATGTTACCCGTTGGAGGATCCCACACCCTCCACGTTCGGTGAAGCCTATGCAGCGCTGAAAGCAGCGAAGAAATACAACATGCCAAAGGCTATACGTACCATCACATCCTCCTTATTAACCCTCTCGAACGATCCCCTCAAACTGTACTTTGTCGCATGCAAGTACCACCTTCGGGATCTCGCGCTACGTTCCGCAAGATCTGCGATTCGAGGGAAGCTCAGTAGACTTTCGTATCCGGAGATGGATTCGGGAGGCGTATCTGCAGGCCACCTCCGCCGTCTACTGGATTATCGGGAGCGATCCCGCGCCGCAGCACTCAACGCCGTCGATCCGAAGCAGCACGTCGGGTCTCTGTGGGTCCTATGCAACTTGCGAAAGTCGTGCTCTGTAGAAGTTCGAGGGCAAGCGGGCACAAATGGGATTCGCGTTTGGCCGGTGCAAACGCGTGCCGTACGTAGTACATACAATAGACC